AGATGTAGTCAATTTGATTTCTATGTATTCCATCTGGCGAGGTCCATGTGTATAGTTGTCTCTTATGCTGTCTAAAGAAGGTATTTGAAATGAACTTGTCCTTTAATGTTGTATAAATCTGCCCTCTCTTTGAAATGAATGAAGTAGCCCCTACTCGCAACAAATTCTTCATCACAATGACCTTTACTTGCTGCATGCACAGCTTTTAAATCATTGAAAAGGCTCTGAGCCTCTTCTTGCACTAAATCAAAACAAATGAACCCTACTGCCTTGACTGGAGTCTGACTCACGGAGCCCCTGTAGGACAGAGTTGAACTGCCCCTTAAGGTCCCCACGACTGCCACAGCTTTCTCCCTCCAAAGGACTGCTGGGCTCACAGTTGGGCACTTGACCCACTGCACCATAGCTCTTTCCCATGCACTAAAGTAAGGGGAAAATGAGAACTGTTTGTACCTATCCTGATTTGCCTACCAAGTCGACTCAAAGAGTCTCTTAGGACCAGATCCACCTGGGAACTGCTGTAATTAGCCCCGGGACAGGAAGGTACCACCAACAAAACCACCTTCCTGTCCCTCTTTTTAATTTCTAAATATCCTTTTTCTTTTATTTTTGTAAAAGCAATATAATAATCACAGTAAAAACACTTTTGAGAAAATAATATCACTCCTAAGGCTCCTCCCCAACTCCAGCACATTCATTTTCATTGCTCAAAGTGGATTTTCAAGTTTTATATAGTTGTGAATAGAGCAAAGAAGTTTACAGCCACTCCCCCAACCCCTAATTTTTCACATAAGGAGCCCTGGTGGTACTGTGAGTTAGGCACTGGGCTGCTAACCACATCAGAGGTTCAATCCCACCACTGCTCCTCAAGAGAAAGAAGAGGCTCAGCTCCTGTAAAGATTTGCAGTGTAGATAGATGGCAGTGGATTTTTTGGTAACTTTTTTACATAAATATTTTCCCGGTTGTCAAAATAAGTCTCAGTCATAAATATTTCAAACACAGACCTTTATTTTGAGTTGACATGCCATACATTACTTGTTGTTGTAAAGTGCCATCAAGTCAGTTTAAATTCAGCAATCCTGTATAGGGTTATGGAGGAGTAGCTAGTGGGTTTGAAC